TGCCTTTTCATGTTCACGTGTGAACTTGATATGTGGAGAATGGGTATAAATTAATTTGGAAAAGGTTCTGAGGCCAGATCTTTTTAAAATTACGAATGTATCATCTACGTATCTGAGCCAAATACGTGATTTGATGGTGTTCTAAAAGATGATTGATTCAATGTGAAACATGAATAGATGTGCAAGAATAGGGGATAACAAAGAACCAATAGCTACTCCACTAGTTTGTTTGTATAATTTCCCTCTAAACATGAAGAGTATCTAATTTAAACAAAATTTGTGTGCTTTCATGATGATGCTGGGCTTCAACGGAGACCTGTCTGCCAATGTGTGATCAAATTCTAGCAATTTACCCATGGACTCTAAAAATTCTCAGTGGGAATACTAGTATACAATGAAACAACATCATAACTTACCATTTTTTCATTCTCTACAATTGATAGTTCCGATATTCTTAAAATGAATTCATATGAGTTTTTGATTGAGTTAATAACAAAGCGTAGAAAAGGCTTCAGTAATGATGCTAGATATTTTGATAAAGCATATGTTGGAGAAATTGTAAAAGCCAATATCGGTCTCTGAGGGACATCGAGTTTATGAATTTTCGGTAATCCAAAGAAACGTGATGATGTGCATGATTTTGGAAATAAAGAAAACCATAATAAGTCTCCGATGAACGGTCTTAGTTCCTTTAAAAGCTAGTTTGTTTCTGTTTTCATTTTGTTCTTTATTGCTTGGCCCTTTTTTGATCCAATTTCTTCATAGGGACTGGTTGAGAGATGTTCATGTGCTTTATGGTCGTAGTCAGTTTTGTTCATAAACACTGTAACATTTAAGCTATGTCGATTGTGATGCGTATTACATCCCGTGAGATCTTCATTCGGGCTAAAGAACATCCAAGTTACACAAAACGACCACCAAATAATCCTGTAGAATGAGAGAACTTACAAATCAAGTCGACGATCGCAGTTCACACCATCTATCAATCACGAAATCGATATTGAAAATGTTAAAATTATTCAAAAGGTTTCTCGAACCACGAGGAAAGAAGAATAGCTGAAGCATTTCACATTATGTTGAATTATTAATGCACTCAAGAGTAAGGAAGGTCTGATTATCCAACTAACCTGGATAGTATTTCCAAAAATAGCACGTCATATACAATGATGAGAACAAAAGTGTATACACACAGACGAACGGAATTTGTCATCCATAGTATTTTTCTTACACATTCATACCCAGTCACAAGTGCACATATACACATCACCTTGAACTCCAGACTAGTAATCGATAACAAAGACACATTTGAACGCTTCTTAACCAACATATCAATGACATTTATTTATACTGGGTGATGATTGAAAGTGAAATAAAAATTCGAACTCTGGCTGGACTCGAACCAGTGACCACTGAGTTTTTGGCCTGATGCTTTTGTAGCTCAGTTGGCAGAGCATCGGGCCGGGAACTCGATGGTCGCTGGTTTGAATCTGGAGGTGGTCCAACTCTCTATTTCACCTTCAGTCATCACCCAGTATAAATACATTAGTCTGACAATGCATGGCTATCTTTGATAGTCAAAATTATAATGACATTTACACCCATATTATTATCATGTATAGGCGATGTGGCCTGATTCGTCACCAATTACCACTTATTCCTTATAAATAACACTCATACCAGCTTATATACCATAGGGGAATAAAGTTTAGGTAATCAAATCACACTTTTCAAAGCAGTTCATTATACGAAAGTTGACTTTGTGATTCAAATACCAATAGGTAGCTGAAAGAATTTCAGAAGGAAAGGAACCATTTAGATGTAGGGCAGTCATCTTTAAAAATTCAAAGTTGTGCCAAGCATGACTTGGTTTACTTAAAGTTTCGAGTCATTGGTTTTTGTCATCCCATCTAACTGTAGTCTAGTAACAGACAGACACAATCAATACAGAGCCTCGCACAAGTGATGCATCGGTTCAAGTTGCCACGCTTTACAGTAGTAAAAAAGAACAAGCGGATAAAAGATTGATAACAAAGTAGACAAAGTTGTATGACAGAATAAACAATGTAAAGATTAAGGTTGGTGCAAATATTCAAGCTTTAGAAGACGTCAAAGAATGAACAAATCTGCACTATTGTGATCGATTTCCAGCTACGTCACCAAGAGTCTTCGACGTCTTATTCTTTTTCGTTTCGGTGACCCCAACCAGGCAGTCTACATCTCTTCACACGACTGAGACCATCAGTCAGGGACTTCATCGACTGATGCTACGTCTTAGTCTGTAGTCAGTATAACCATAGACTTTCCTTACGACTGAACCATCATTCAACAGCTCTATTGTTTGTTTTCCTCAGCCAAGAGAATTTTACCAACAATATTCTACCCTGATAAATTTTATTAACTGACCCACTTTACACATCATAGGCAATCAATTTTTTGGAGCCGTGTAGCTTGTTGGTTAAAGGTTTAAGGAGTTGACTTTAAATCAATAGGTCGCGGGTTCAAGTACCGCTCCACCTACTGAGGTTTGGGCAACCAGGTAGTATCATCAATAGCCGTCACTCAATAGATATAGTTCATTACCGGTTGCACAAATGTGCACACGGTTACTAAGCTGGATTTCAATTAGATAGTCAGTTTACTTAACTTTTTTTATCATTTCAAATTATGTATCTCGGATTGTGTACTTAGAGTCACTTCAACTAGTAACGTAATTGTTAACCTTTGATAATTGTAATTATTAGGTTGTTTTGTTACAACTTGCAATATTGTTTCATCTTTACCGAGCTATGTACCTATAAAATTATTATTAGCCCATTCTGTAATTGTAAACTTTATAAATTTGGCTATCGTTATTGTACCTATTGAGGTTGTATTTTTGCTTCTCTAACAGTTAAGACTGTTTATCGCATGTTTTAGTTATGTATTTTGTCCAGCACTTACTGTTTTGTTTTATCGCTGAAAAAATTAGTGAAATAACACCAATGTATAGAATATTCTACAACCTTTGTTAATATTGTTTCTATTTTTCGCTCTGGTTACGTACTACCTTGATGTTTAGTTATAGAAACCAGGACTGTTTTACAATACTGCTTGTTTCCTGTCTTGTTAGTATTCATTTATATACAGAACACGAAAATCTGTTTTTGTAGTAAGTAAATTATATTACATAAAGTGAAATTGAATGGTTCGACCTCTCGAACACTTGGAAATATCAACTTTTCATTTTACCTGATCATGGTAAGGGATTCGATCTGTGATGTTCAATAAAGCTGTCATTAGGAAGGATTTCTTTTTCAGTTCATTTTATCTTATGAATTGTGCTAAAACAGTCTAGATATATCAGTCAGTCAATATCAACCTAACATTACTGTATAGCGATTCCACTTGGCACAACTCACATCAAAGTAGCAAGCAGAAAAGTGGAATGTAAGCGTATAAGGAAGAAAGTATTCGAATCTTGTGTAGAAAGAACAAGATGGGATACGACCATAGTGAATTTCGGTATGACGATTATGATTAAAATAATGCGTTCGGATGTATGAATGCCATTGAAAACAATTCTGAGCTATATTGCTTAGTCTCTAGCAGGTGATTTTCGTTGTTTACACGAACTCTAACCCCCGTAAGCCTACATTTCCCTTCACCACTCATACCAGCATTCATAGACTTAATGAACAGATACAATTGTTCAGTTTGACCGCCTTTAAGCTTCCAGAACGAGCTTGTTTCGCTGAATACTGAACAATAGGACAGACGGTGACTAGGTATGTGTACCAAATGTTTCAGTTACCCGAGCCGATGATTCTCCTCTTCTAAGCCTGGCTTCTGCATTACTGACAAAGTGACACCATGACACGGTGTATGTTACGAAGGAAACAGTGACCCAGAGTCTGAAGCCTTCTTATGTCGTCTATGTTTTATGACCATGTTTCACATAACCATATAGTGGAACAGAATGAGCTGCAACGCAGTACACTTGGTTTCTGATACGCATTAAGATATATCATGGTGGCGCCATTAATCGCGTAGTTAAATTTAGATATTTAACTATTGACCTGTAGATCATCACAGATTTGCTTCTATCCACCTAATTTGATCAGGACGACTGAATAGAACCATAAAATTTAGTCGTGTCTCTTGGATTAACCCAAAAACTTGTAGCAATGAATCACGATCAAATCTCTGAATAACGGATGACCCTGGACCGAACTAACCCTAGAAGTTCTATTACAGCATCTGTTACTAAAATGTTCAGTAGTCTTTTCAATAGTTAAAATGCAGATGTATCATTGGGAAACAATGTCAGTTGTAACTTTTTATTGATCTACTTGTAATTCTCCGTTGTGATACTGGTTTGAACTAACCTCTGTTGGCGTTTGGGCTCCCGTGTGGATGCCTGGATATTTATTATGGGGATTTACTTGGCCGTGGCTAGCAGAGGAATTCAGAACACACGTTTCATCCCACCTAGGACTCGTCAGCTGGATGTACCTGCACCCCAGTGAGTGGTATTGTGGCTATCATGTCTCAGCGGCTTTGTGGATGTTCTTTCGGCGTTTGAAGCGATCAATACGAGGTTCAGGTTTCAGTGAAAACAACACTCATTGGGGTGCTGGCGCATTCAGCTGACGAGTCTCAAGTAGGACGGAACGCATGTTCTGGATTCGTCTGCCATACTGTCAGCTGTCTTTCTTCGACCTAAACAAAGTATTTTTTCTTGCTTCATCTTATCGTCTTTTTAAAACTTTCGAGCCAATAGCTTTTACATATATGTTGCTAGGACACGATATGTAAATGAACAATACTATTTTCATCTTGGTGATGTTATATTGTGTAAACTGGATGATTTAATCATGAAACTGTCATCGTTTTCACTTAGATCCTCAGGCTTATATATATATATATATATATATATATATATATATATATACGATTGTAAAACAACTGTTTCACGGTACTTTTTATCGACGCATGTTACTGATTATTTCTTTATTTCGTAGGTTTGTTTTGGAGCATTCGTTCTTCCATTTCTATTTTTCAATGTCATTCGTTCTCGATGGCTTCAGTTGTTGACTGTTTGTCTACGATGGATCGGTTTTATATTGATGTTCAGTTTGTCAATTGAAAGAGCTATTATATTACACATGCAAATGAAAACCTCTACATTTCAACTTTATTCCTGTGTATATTGGAATCCATCAATTTACACTTTATCTACACAACGCGAACCGATTCCTAGACCACCAGCTTTTCAACCTCATAATATACCAAGTTTATTTGGTGTTTGCGTTTACGTGTTCATGTGTCATCATTCTATACCGGGTATTGTAACACCTGTAAAAAATAAACACAATATACTATATCGAGTATTTCTCCCCGTATTTATTACAGTCCTCTTATTTAATCTTCTACTCTCAGGTACAGCTGTGATTGCATTTAATCATATTGAAGATTTGTATACATTGAATTTTACACCTAACAAAGAATTTATAGATATATCACAGATTCCGTATACAATAGCATTAATATTTGGTTACTTTCTATGCTTATTCCCTGTATTCGCTTTAACTTCATCTTATCCAATAATTGGTACTAGTTTACTTGGGAATATTTACTCTTTGTGCCACTATTTCCCAATATGTCAAAGTGATACAGTTCAAAGAATATTAAAGTATACACTACCATTCATTGTATTACTACCACCGTTATGTATAGCCTTGATAACTGATGATGTTGGCTATTTAACTGGTTTCACTGGAGCAATTTTCGGTTCTGGTATACAGTATATTATACCAGCTGTATTAGTATACAAAGCACGTCAACAATTCACAAATTTCATTTTATCTCAAAATGATATTATCGTTACAATAAAAGGTCGACAGAATCACTATGATGATAATGAATTGACAACTACTGACAATAATGATATTGTAGTACCAACATCTAGTTATAGTAACGCTGCATTGGCCAATTCAGAAAATAATGAGATTTACAGTTCAACAGAACATTTAACAATGGAACAGTCAGTTTCAGTTATTGGAAAATGTTCGCAACACCGCCTAGCAGCTATTTCAATGCATGCCTCGCCTTTCCAGCATTGTTTCTGGATAATAATGATTTTAATATGGGCTTTATTTTGTATTGTGATTGTTTTAATTGATAAAATACATCATGTTTGAAATGTAATATGGAATACTTGACGAAATCGTTTCTTCCTAAAATCTGTTACTTTGCTTATTATTTCTCTGCCTAGTAGTAATTGTCTGAAGCACTTGACTGACTGACAAAATCAACGTAGAACCTCGCACATAGGTGCATCGGCTGAAATTGCCACATTTCACAGTAGCACAAAAAAATAGGTGGATAGAAAAAGTGATATGAAACTGGACAGTTGTTTGAGAGAAGAAACAATCAGAAGATGACGGTCAGTGCAGATATTCAAGCTTTGGAAGATACTAAAGACTGAATACATCTGTGCCATTGTGACCGATTTCCAGCCGCGTCACCAATAATCCTCAGCCACTGGTATTTATTTCGTCCCGGAGACTCTAACCAGGCAGTCTACATCTCCCCACATGGCTCAAACTAACAGTGAAAAACTTCATCGAATAGTGCCAGCTCTTAGTCGGGTCACCCTGATCCCTTTCTCAACTAATCCTACTTCCCCAAGTATGGCACGTCGAGGTTGGCGTGTGCAACACATGTCCAAACCATCTCAGTCGACTAAGGTCCACAACCTCATCAATCGACCTGCCCATGTCTCATAGCTATACAACTGGGCGAAACGAACTGCAGCGCAGTATACTCGTCTTTGGATAAATAATTGGATATCTCGCCAGTCGGCACCACGAATGACGCAATTTGGCTGGTATCAAACGAGCCTTTTGTATCCAGAGTGAGATTTCGTCAGCAATCAACCCGTTCGGGCTGATGCGACTTCCCAAGTGATTGAATTGGTCGACACATTCCACCACTTCACTTCCTATCATTAAATTATGAGTACTCGCAGCAGATCAGTCCTAAAGCATCACCTTACATTTGACAGGTGCGAAACGCATGTCAAAATACTAAGATTTCTGCTCAACGCGTTCAGAAAACCCTGCATTTTGTCAGCGTATCCACTTGGCAAGGCAATATCGTCTGCATACTCCAAGTCAACCAGATGATCTCCAGGGAGTAGGTCAATCCCTGTGAAGTCATACGAACTTAAGCTTGAGTCAATTGATACATTTATAACAAAGTTAAATAGAAACGGTAACAGCGGGCATCCCTGGTGGACACTACTACATGGCGTTAGCTCACATGATAACTCTCCATGAGTCCTAACGGCTGCGCGAGTTTAAGCACAGAGAGCTTTGATTAGTGTTATATGCTTATCGGTACTCCTTTCAGTCAGACACTGCTACAACACCTCGCGATCGACAAAGTTATGCCGCTTTCAGGTCAAGAAATATGGCAAGTGTTGGCCATTGGCCGGTAGGTATGCCGTGCTCCAGAACTTGTCATAGGGTAAAAATATGATCGATGCACTGCATGCATGCTGCTGTTCAGTCTGGCAACAATCGGTGTACTTGTATGTTGGCTTTGTTTACCTTTCTGTTGCACAGTGACAAGATGTCGTCCGCATACTTGAGGTCGAAAAGCCTTTCACCTGGTAACAAACCTACACCATAACCACACATCTCCTTCATGCCTATCTCTAGAATGTCATTGATGGCAAAGCTAAAGAGGGATGGTGGAACTGGACAACCCCACTATTGCTTTGGAAAAATATGGATAGATGGCCGTATGCCTTGAAGTATAGGGCTTTCAAGATGTTAAAGAACTCCTCAGGAACACTCCTCTCCAACAGACGGTTTCAAAGTACATCTTCCAACGAATTGGGCCTAACATCAAGGAATACAATGACCACTGATCCGCAATACGTGTGACAGTGTTCAGGCACCTATCGGCGGCTGAAAACATGATCAATGCATCTACAACTTGGTCTGCTCCTCAAGGAGAAGATTCTGGCGCAGTCTACAAATCACGATAGCAGTCAATACTCTGGATGCTGACGGTAGCGAACTGACATACCGATGATCATATTATGCATTACCGGGAACTCTGAAAGCTTCATTATCTTACGCACTGAGGTTAAAATTCTACGTGGAGTAATGTTCAGAACTTGGGCTTTTAGACTCATTGCGAAAAAAGAGAAATCGTAATTTCACTGCATACAATTCAGTCAAAAAAGCAAACATTTTATGATAACACAACCATGTCGCTGTAGTCTAAGCAGAAGTAACCAATAGGATTCTAGTGATGCATACAACTGTCACGCATTGCACAGCTGGTCAGATTCTGATTAGAAATACAGACGTGTATCTCTGACTCATACGTAAGTGCGAGATAGACACTCAATACAACTTTGCGTAAGCCTACGTACTGGACATATCCATTCGTGATAGACACCTTACAGCAATGTCATTTCTTCAGAACGCACGAGTGAGATGGAAACAGCAGCTGCATTTTCAAATAGTTGAAGAAGGCAGGCAAACAGAAGTAAGTGACATATTAGATGTATTATATTCCAATAAGTACCCTAATAGTGTCATTCAAAAGATCCAGAAAGATGAGTAGTGGGACCCAAGAGAAAATTCAAATGACGATTCTTGGATTGGCACAGTAGTTCTACCATTCCGTCAAGGTACAACCGAACAACTACAAAGGATCTTAAGAAAGCATCGAATTAGAACCTTTTACAAGACAACCAACACTCAGGAATGCTCTAGTCCACTTAAAAGATAAAGTTCCTTTTAACTTCACACAGTACTGTCCACAAATTAGGCTGTGTCGACTGCAATGCCTATTATGCTGTAGAATCATCCCGTGAGATCCTTATTAGGGCTAAAAAACATCCAAGTTACACAAAACGACCACCAAATAATCCTGTAGAATGAGAGAACTTACAAATCAAGTCAACGATCGCAGTTCACGCCATCTATCAGTCATGATATCGATATTGAAAATGTTAAAATTATTCAAAAGGTTTCTCGAACCACGACGAAAGAAGAATAGCTGAGGCATTTCACATTATGTTGAATCATTAATGCACTCAAGAGTAAGGAAGGTCTGATTGTCCAACTAACCTGGATAGTATTTCCAAAAATAGCACGTCATATACAATGATGAGAACAAAAGTGTATACACACAGACGAACGGAATTTGTCATCCATAGTATTTTTCTTACACATTCATACCCAGTCACAAGTGCACATATACACATCACCTTGAACTCCAGACTAATTAACAAATAAACAAAGATAAGTTGTGAACGCCTTTTGACCAGCATGACAATGACATTTACATCCATGTTATTATCATGTATGAGCAATATGATCTGATTCATCACCTTTCACTATTTAGACTACTGGTAACTTGTACAGGTTTTATTCTATGAAGAAGCGATTTCCACGAAGTCGTGAAACGTAAGAAATTTACTTTTCTACTTCATTTGGGATTTTACAAAATATATTTTATCTATTACTTATCTATCAGTTGTTTTTTTCCCCACTGTATTCATGAATGAAGTGTCCTTGAATATTGTAGACGCACATACATTCTCGCAGTTAAAGGTACAGCTTATATCTGTGCTAATAATGGTGTAAACCAGGTCCAGAATTTTCTGTAGGTGAAAGATTTAACACAATGATAAAAATCACTAAGTCAATGAAGAACCTTTTATACAAAAATATCCAAGAATTTAATACAACACAATAACATGGAAATTATTAGAGTTCACAGATCTTGGGATTAAAATCTGAAATCTTAACAGTCAAATTTGTACAAGATTTTTTTTAAAAAAAAAAAAAGAAGAGAAAGTTACGAAACTAAAGCAATTGTGTGTGGTATAATTTCACATTTGACACTTTTTTCCGTATACACTGGAACATTATTAACGTGTAATGATACTCTACTTCCGTTAGGTACAACAAGACTACACGCTGAGAATAAACTCATTGTCAATTCATGTGACCAATCATATATATACAAAATTAGTTGGTATTTGTGAATTTTGTTAAAAAATGCGCTAATAAAGCACTGGAATACTGAACTCAATTCACCATTTTGATGTAGATTTAATAAGAAGGAAGTAATCATTGTATTTCCCGATAAATTCAATGTATGAAGGTAAGGAAGAGTTTCAGGTATTATTTGCAGTAATTTTGTCTGTATTCCTGGTGGTACATGCAATTGAGAAGTACGAGATATGAAAATTGAAGATAAATTCAATTTTTCAAGATATGGACACGCTTGTTTAAAAAAAGTTGACATTTTTTCAAATCGTACATCAAGTGGACAAGATGCCGGTGGACCAAGAAATAAACGATAACACTTGGATACATTTAGATGTTTAAGATTTTCTGAAGGAGTTATACCAATCAACGCCAATAAATGTGCCTCATGAATCCAACTACTATCGGTTAAGTTGAGATATCTAAGTGAAAACCGCGGGATACTGGATGAAGATTGAGGGTTAATCAACCTAGAATACAATGATTCAAAGATAATCAATAAAAGAGATCACTGATGGATGTTGCCAAGAAAAATTGGAAGCGTATATTTTGCATGTGTGCATTAGCATTGCTACTGTTCACACAGTGATACACCATATTTATGTTTACATATTATACCAACTAGTGTCATTTTATAGTACATAACACCAATACTAAGTGCAAACAGAGTTATAAAGTGTACCATATTACACATTGTTGATGAGCGATTTGAAATCACTTATTACAGATGTTTGTGAAGCAGACTCTACTACAGTTAAGGGTAGGGTTCGAACAAATATTTAGATTTCAACTCCAATTAGTGCAAAACTTTTTGTTGCCTTCAATCTTTTAAGGGGAACACACACTCTATTAAAGGATGAAAATGAAAGAGTACAGAAGCGAAATATGTGAACAAGATAATTATCCGGTAAAATTCATTCGCAAAATAGAAAATAACATTATATTAGGTCGTAAGACTACTCCTAAATCATGGGACTCAACAACAGTTATCCTTTACAGATCATACACATCGCATAAAATTAGGAGAGTGTTCAACAAACACAATATCAGTGTTCTAAAGAACACCAAACACATTACAGAGCACCTTAGTTCATTTGAAGAACAAGATCCCTCTGGATTCACAATCTAATTGTGTTTATAAACTAAAATGCTTAGACGGTGATGTAATACATTTAAGACAAACTTTCCGTGAAACCGACATCAGAAAAAATGAATACCGAAGAGCCTCTACCTAACCCCTCTAGAAATCCAGTGGAACTGAAAAAGCTTGAAAACATATCAACCACGCTAAAATGTCAGATCACTAGGTCGATTTTGACAATACCAAAATTATTCAGAAAGGCTTTAGAAATTATAAAGAATATCTCATAGTAGAATCTCTTCACACTAAATGGAATCATAATTGCCTAAATAGGAATGAGGGAGTAAAATGTAGTTTGACATGGTCTCAACCCATCCCCTTATACTGACATAACCATCATACATACGATAAGAACTATCAACACATATGTACATACAAACCTCAACCTGTAATTCATAAACTCTTCACACACAACAAACTACATATGGATGTCATCTTTATTCTACAATTCTGACATCACAGAATCATTCACGCAGAACACCTGTCAAGTTATCATATATAAGCTCAGTGGATATTGTAAATTCCGGTTTATTATAACTTTGACAAAGCTATTAGCACTGAATAGCAAAACATCAGTTGAAACAATCTTATTCTATATTCATTGGGAAATACAAATACCAAAATAATTAATGTCATTTACGAAATTGCCTAAATTTTCTCTAACTATCAAATTCCAAACTTGGTTTGGATATCTATAGACTAAGATGTCAATCAATATGACAGTGGAGGCAGTTAGAAGAAGCCAATACATTCTAACAAGTATCTCGACTTCACGCCATCTCATCCAACATCAGTTAAAGCAGGTGTTAATTCCTTTCCTACCATGTTCTGGTTCACTCTACGCAATGTCAACATTGTATTGCTTTTTATATCTTTAGTTTTATGCTACTTAGTATTATTGAGTAGTATAATTCATATTTTCCTTTCCTGTTACTTCACCCACAACTTGACTTCATTTATTTAAACATATCTTGTTTATCAGCTAACATCTCTACATTTTAGTGCCTTTCGCGGTTGATGATACCGTTAAGATTCCTTTCATTGGCTCTCGGTGTTATATTTCACCTCGTGTTTAGAACTTATTGCAGAAACATATGCGCGTTTGGTTTGTTTTGGACACAGCAGATATGCTGTTTATACAGTTTTTGCACTCTCTGTAAGGTGTTTTGATAGTGATAAACCCAGAGATACCTTACGATTCGAGGTTTGTAATTTATTTGTCACTATTATCTATGAATACAGAAAAGTAATTCAGACAAATTCTGTGTTTTTGAATGCTACGCGTAACTCGTGTTCAGTTTATCGTTGGGAAATTGCTTGTTCACTTTGGTTCCAAATTTCTTGCAAGGAAATTTATAGTAGGTTTAGTCAAATGCTTTAATAACAGAGTTGTGAAACTTACTGGTAAATCCAATGGTTTAAATGAGCAGTTGAAACATGTAAAAGAAATGATGGTTCAATAAAACGGTCGATCTACAGGAAACCTACTTGGACAGGTCAGTATTTAAGTTTCCATAGCTTTTGTCCAACCCAATACAAGCGAGGTTTGGTAACTTGTCTATTTAAAAGGATCCAGTGTATTTGTACGGAGGACTCAATGGATGATGATATCAAAATACTAACGGGAACATTAGTGGAAAATGGATATCCACTGAAGTTCATAATCCGCTGCAAGAAATCAGCGAGGATTCAAACCTGATCTGTACTCTGTTTCGAAGGAACGCGTTTACATCGTGTTACCATACAAAGGAGAATCTAACAACATAATATTAAAACGAAGGTTAAGGTCTGCTGTCAGCAAAACGTACTATGCAGCTAAGCTTATCATAGTTGAGAAGACCAAACACCTGCTGCTACCTAGACCTCAACGCTGTATAAACGATTGCGTCACATTCAACTGCGTTTAAAAATTTACATGTGTGTATGGACAAACATACATAGGGACGACTAATCGTGATATACACTTGAGGGTAAGGGAACATATTCCAAAATGGCTACGAAAGCAGCTGGATTCACAAACATTGATAAGCGCAGATGGCAGACAACCATCATCATCCATTGCGAAACATATCATTGATAAGAGTCACAGAATTGATATCAAAACAGCCTTTACAATTTTGTACAGAAACTGTCAGGGGCGTATACTTAAGTTTGTTGAGGTGCTAGCCATAAATAAATTTAACCCCCCCCCCCCCATTGTGTATGCAAAAACAGTTTGTCCTTACATTAAGCCTACCTTGGTAATGCTTATCTTATCGTATTATCAAGATTGTCTTCAAATCTTATCTTTTATTCCTCTCATTATCTTTCTTATTATTGAATTCCTTTATGTAATATTTATCCTTCCTCTACTTTCAGTTTTCATATATAATGCCTTGACAAGTAAACATTAATAATTAAGTTACCAGCATGAAAATCTTTAAGAAAACATAAGAAAAGAAGTACTAAGAGTAGAATGAATAGTGACTGCGAGAAGAGTAGAAAGGAGTTTAAGGCTTCTATTTTGTTACTATATCAGGAAGAAACATCAGAAACTTTACATAGAATTCTCAAGAAGGCTGGAGTTAAAGTGGCATTCAAACCAACAAACTAGCTCAGAGATCAACTTTCTCAGCTTAAGCATTCTATTGAGTAAAGTGTTACATCAAATACTGAGCAATGAATAGGGCGTTAGGTACATGCGTCGCATGAACCGATCACAGTACCGGAATTTAGACAAATGTAGAATGACAGACTCAGATAGGATCAATAATATAGAACAAAACTCGGCTATTGCAATCCATGGACTGACATAAAACTATACAAGAGAATAGGACAAAGAATGTCCATTAAAAACTGTGCTTTGTGGACAGAAGTAATTCATTTAAAATATATTTATGGTGAATGTCTACACGTAATGATATTGTTTAGTTATTTGAATAATAATGATCATAATGTGATCATTGGCAGTCATTTTGCTCGAAATATGATCAAGACTAAACAATATCATTGTGTAAACATTTGTTACAAATATATTTATAATAAATAGGATAAGTGCATAGACGTTGACTACTGAATCTTTGTTCATCGAATCAACCAACACCTAACACATACAACAGGAATGATGCAACACGTATACTGAAGATGTAGGAAATTTTACAACCAATAGAAGAAAATAATAGGAGGTGATAGGTTTATGAAAATCAGTCGTCGGAAGTTGTGCAATTAGTCTGATGAAAAAGCATTTACGCTGGAAACGTTATCCAGTTGATAATACTGCATCATAGTGTGCTATATTCAACAAACATATGTAGTATGGAATTGCATTTTACCACAGTGCTCAAGCTTTACACTTATTTACATACATATGAACTAGTAATAAAGCAAAGGTCTGTCTTTCTCTATCTCCAATAACTTACTTGGAATATCGTCACGTCTTTTTGAGTCAGAACATCTGTGCTTAATTTATAATGATCGTCTAACGTAGAGTTCGAAAGCTAAGGATGACTTACTTATTCTCATTTTCATGACACGTACATAAACCATTTTGTTGTTCCTGTGGGACAAGTTATATAAAAGAAACAACTAAACAAATTAGTTTCAGAATACAACAGTGGGTTTTAGTCTGATCTGAGTAGCGTGAAATAAATCATAACTCTTGACTCTCACATTCAGAAGATATAATATAACCTTGACATTGATACATTCTGAAATGCCAGGCAATTAGTCAATCTTACTAGGGATAATGGCTATGGAAAGTGGGATTATCACCGAAAAGGATGGGTTCCTGATAACCTCTTAAGAAAGATAGTCATAACGTTAGGTGGAACACTTTGAAGTCCAGTTAAATTGACCTGAAAAAACAACTAAAACACTTGGCATCTAGTTCGAACCTGAATGGGAAGTAGATGTCGGTCCTCCAACTCTCCTAGAAGCGAACAAGACTGTTTCTAATGCATAAAACGGGACAAAGCAGCAGAACCTGATGATTCGCCATCACAAGCTGTTAAGAAATGAGGAAGGAAATTACTGAGTAGTGTATCAGAGGTAGCGTATGCAAATCTTGGGTAGTCCAGGTAGACGGTTGTAGATCATTAATTATTCCAATCTTCAGTGAGAGACAGAAATCTACATGTAACAAGCATAGCCGAATCGGTTTGATGAACATCATATCCATGGTTGGTCTATGACTGAGGTTACAAAACAGTAAATTTTAGAGAATCGGATAAGTTTCATACCTGAAAACAGGGTGCACAAACCAGATCTCCACCCTTCATGATAAGGTACTCAGGCAGACTTACCCATGGTCGACACTTGATATATTTGTTGACCTGAAGACGGCGCATGACT